GGATTACAGGCGTGAGCCACCAGCGCCCGGCTTTGTAGCTCAATTTAATGAAATAATGTTCAAAGAAAACCTTTTTTGGAGAGAGTGGGGTGATCATGTTCTCCCTGAGCTTTTTCACCCAAGACTGGCAATCTGCCGCTTGAGCCACATCTCCAGTTCCATTTTTTTGCTAGTTAATTGAAGATACCAGTCTCTTGGATTTGTCTGCCCAGACTGGGTTTGAACCAGTCTTCAGGTCTCAGCCTCCTGAGTAGCTAGGATTATAGATGTGAGCCACCAGTGTGCAGTTCAAAGAAAACTTTTTATCAACACCATAAATGGGGACAACAGTGCTAGTGGTCACCAAGTGCACTTACTGTTAACTATATATATATATATATATATATAGTTATATATATAGTTATGTATATAACTATATATATATATATCATATACATATATATAATGGATAAAATGTCACAGTTACCTTTGTTACTAAATTCTAAGTCTTGAATGGAAATTGAGAAATGAGTGAGTGTCATGAAAAAGCAGAGGTTTACATGATCAAAAAACTCAGGTTTTCTTTTCCTTGATATGATCTGAAGGACAGAAATAATCTATAAAAGGACATAACTCGCTTCCTCTCCCCCCTTTCCCCTGTCTTTCTCCCCATTTCTCCCTCTCTTTCCCTCTCCTTTTTCCTTCACTGTGTTTTAATGAAGTGAGAACTGCACCTTGACGAAACTTATAGAAAAGTTTTGGGCCACATCCCACCTGCCCTGTTTTGTTTTTTGTTTGTTTGTTTTTATTTTTTTATTGCAAAGGTGCCATGCAGAGGAGTTACAGTTACATGAGTAAGGTAATGAGTCCATTTCTTGTCGAACATTGTTACCCCTCCTTTGTTTTTCTCCTAGTATCCCTCCCCTCCCGCCCCCCCCTCACCCCGCCAACGAAAAGTTGTAACGTTTATTTCCAACATAGTGTCTTGTGAGGCTCATTGTTGCAATGGGTCATCCTGTGTCCTTGTTTCAGCATTTTGTTATTCCCCTTCCCCTCCCCAAATTAGACAAATGCATATACAAGATGCAGGGTACCAAAATCAAGTACAGTGACAACAGGGGGTATACATGAGGGAAGAACATACAGAAGAACCCCCCCCCCCCAAAAAAAAAATCACAGTACATGAAAAACAACAACAACAAAGAAAAACCTCTTGTGTCCCTATCTTGGGGTTCATTTCACTTAGCATCATCTTTTATGATCATATGTACCTAGCTTTTTGAGATTTTTTTCTGCTCATCTGATAAGATTATCCTAAATGTATACTAATTATTTCCAATAAGGGAAACCATAGGACCTATATTTCTTTGGGACTGGCCTACTTCACTTAATATGATTTTTTCCCCAGGTCTCCATTTCCTAACAAATGGGGCAGTGTCATTCTTTCTGATGGAAGCATAGAATGTATATATATATTCATATATATATACATACATACATATATGAATATATTCTCATATATACATATACATGTGTGTATACATACATATATACATACATTTTCATCTATTGAGGGGCATTTGTCTACTGAGAGGCATCTGGGTTGGTTCCATATCTTAGCTATGGTGACGTATGCTGTGATTTTGTCCCTACTTCAAGCTACTTCTGTCTTTGAAGACAATATTGCTTTAGAATGGAGCTCCAATTAGAATGAGAGTGCCAGCCTTCTGTGCTATACAGGAACTCTGCCCTGGATTCTAGAAATAATCAGCAATAGGTGTCCTTGGGCCTGTGCTGGCTGCCTTCCTAACACTGGACTCAGGATTTTGGACTATGGTTTTCTTCAGGAGACAAAAAAACCTGGCAGGGCATTATTATTTTCATCCCCAGGTGAACCAGGGGGAACCTGAGGCATAAGAGATGTAGGATAAGGTACTTGAGGTCATAATGCTTTTGCAAGGTAAAGGAGATGAATGCATACTGATAAGATCCCATGTGTCCTATGGCAACTGACTTTGCCCCATGTTGAGTCAAGCCAGTGTGGTGATCAGTGTTCATTAGAAAATCGTAACATGAGAGCAGGGAAAGTGCTTCTCCCAGATTTCTATGTAAACAGAAAAAAAAAAGGCAATTTTTGGAAGGTGATATAGTATGCTGTATATGCGTGTGTGTGTGTGTGTGTGTGTGTGTGTGTGTGTGTGTGTGTGGTGAGAAATTCCACAAAATGAAAAATGAGATTAATGTTTCATTTTGTATGGTTCCCTAATTATGCCTTTAATAATTAATATAAAACAAGTAAAATGACCCCTGACAGAGACATAAATGATTTAGGTAAAATCAAATATTTATAGGATGTTGCTGCGTCCCTTGGTGTATTATAACAGATGCCTCTATGTTTTGGAGGCAAAAATTTTGTATATAGAATTTATATATTATATAGCAGGCAGAATTGAGCTAAGGCAGAATTGACATTAGAAAGTTTTAGTGGTGGTATGATATACTAGTCTGTATATGTTACAATAATGTGCATAAGATTATATATATATATATATATATATATATATATATATATATATATATATACATATATATATGTTTGTTTTTTGTGATGGTCCTGGGGCTTGAACTCAGGGCTTGGGTGCTGTCTCTGAACTTTTTTACTAAGACTCAGCTTAACCACTTAGCCACAGTTCCACTTCTGGCTTTTTTTTTTTTTTTTTTTTTTTGTAGTTAATAGGAAATAAGAGTCCCATAGACTTTCCTGCATAAGCTGGCTTTGAACTATAGTCCTCAGGAATCAATCTCCTGAGTACTACAATTGCAGGCATGAGTCACTGATGCCTGGTATTTATATATTTTTCATGGTTGGAAGCAGTGAAGAAAAGAATACTGTGTGATATGTGAAAACGGTATCATACTCAGAGTGCCATGTGTTTCAATAAAGTTTTATAGGAACATCACCTTGTCATTCATCCATATGTTACCTTTTGCTGTTTCTGTGCTGCAAAGAGCACCAAAGACTCAGTGTTCTGCATAGCCTATAAAGTACTTATCAAATGGCCCTTTAAGAGAAAAGTGTGCCAACCTCCGTTCTAAAGCATGCCCCAAACAGAGTAAAGTTGGAATACTGCCAGGGTGTGTTTAATTGGCACAAGACACACTTGCTTTTACTTCATTTTTAGCCTTTAATTCCCTGTCCCCCTAATTGAACATTCACTGTATATTTTTCAGATGTTGGAGGAAAAAGTGCCGTTTGAATGCACTAAAAAGGGATTTATATTAGCCGGATTTCTTTACTTGCTTCTAATGCTTTTTTTATATTGCGAAGTACTGAAACTAATTGCCCTGTTTTAGAAATGGGTCATTAGTCTACTCCTTATCTTTTATGGAGACCTAATTTTTATGCAGAATTTCTCTCTAAGGCTATTAAGTAGGAACTCTTTGGGATGAAGAGACAAGATCTGGGGAACCCTCATTTCCCATGGCTTACATCAGCTTAACTTTGGTCACAGCCATTCAGTGGGTTGGTTGACATGTTACATGACTTTCTGGCAGCTACTAAGAACTTGTTGAGTGAATGAATCAATCCACTTTAGGAGAGGAAAAAAAGAGACTGTCACTTACAACACAAAATATTGGGCTGGGAAGGTGCCTCAGTGGTAGAGTGCTTGCCTTGCATGCATGAGGCTCTGGGTTTGATTCCCCAGCACCACATAAACAGAAAAAGCCGGAAGTGGCACTGTGGTTCAAGTGGTAGAGCGCTATCCTTGAGCTGAAGAGCTGAGGGACAGTGCCTAGACCCAGAGAGAGCAAGAGAGAGTGAGAGAGAGATATATATTACTTTCCTTTTGCAAAAAGAATTATATTCTGTTAACACAAATCCAAATTATTCTTTTTTTTTTGAATTTTTTTTTATTGTGAAAATACTGTACAGAGTGGTTACAATTACATGGGCAAGATAATGCGTACATTTCTTATCAAGCATTGTAGCCTCCTCCTTTGTTTCCCCTTCCCATCCCATCCTCCCCCTGTCCCCCCTACCCAACCATCTCCCCTCCCCCCACCATTTTTTGTTTTCGACATAACGACTTATACTTCTCATTGTTGCAATGGGTCCACCTGTATCTTTATTTAAATGATTTGTTTTTTCCCTTCCCCTCCACAAATTATACCAACATCAAATACAGTGAAAGCAGGGGTTATACCATGGGGGAGGGACATACAAAGCAACAAAGCAAATTTTTCTTGAATCCTTTTTCTCGAGATCCAAGGAAGGAGGTATGTTTTTGAAATTTGGAGTTGGGATTGGTTTAAGTTCTGTGCTGTGTATGTGTTCTTTCTCCTGAGCTGAAGGAAAATGTTCTTCTGCTTGGAGTTAGAAGCAGTAGGGGAAATCAAATTACCTGGCAATATTTCAGTGACCTTCTGATTAGATTTCACAGTATGCTTTCTTGAATATAGTTATCATGTTTAAAGACTGTACTCCCAAATCCTATCTTCCCCATACAATATCTTTAATAGTAGAAGAACTGCAATTTTGTTTCCCCCTGATACCTTGCTTCAGTTTTCTTATGGAAGGAATGTGCCTCTCTCCAGTCTGGTATATGTTGAGTATTTCCTATTTCATTCTAGATCTTGAATCTTGGGAAATCCCCGGGAATGTGCTTCAAAAGAAACTTCTCAGGCTCCAGATAATTTTGTCATTTATATTTTGTAGACAGTGAAACCAGGCTACTTCTCTCATCATCTCCCTTTCCCCCCATCTGTTAAACAGAATTAGAAATTCTGAGGTATTTCCCTGGGAATTGTCACAGTTTAGATCCAACTGGTAATCCCAGCTCTCTTGGATCTGTAGCTGAGATGTCCTAGTTTATGCAGCCTGATGGATTTGACTTGTTTGTTAATAGGTATGTAAGGAAGTAATTGGCATCATGGTAATTGTGAGCTTCCTTACAAGCAATGGGAGACATCCTAAGCCTGAGTTTGAAGCTCACTGATTTCTCTCTTTCCCTTTTGCACAGTTGCCATCCTTCTGAAAGATGACTATTTTGTCAGTGGCGCTGGCCTGCCTGGCAGATTCAAAGCTGAGAAGGTGGAATTCCACTGGGGCCACAGCAATGGTTCCGCGGGCTCCGAACACAGTGTCAACGGCAGAAGGTTTCCCGTGGAGGTGAGAGAATCTGAATATAACTGTGCTGTGTGGGGGTGCTCAAATGAATCCTGCCAGGTCCTTCCCCTGCAGTTGTTCTGCAAGTGAAAGTTGGGCAGAACCTCCTCTCATACCTTCGGAACCTCGACTCTCTATGTAGACCTACTATGTAGTTGGCCATCCTAGTTGCTCATCTTTGTTCTAAATGGAGAACCCGAGAGTGGTCACAGAGACACACATGCACACACTCAGCTCTCCCTGGTTGATGAAGTGTATGGCTTATTTCCTTTTTCCGCTCTGTTTCTGAAACTCTGCTTTCTGAAGGTGACATTTGTGTGGAACCTGGGTGACTTTATTGTTACCTTTTTAAGAAATGGGAAAGCAAGTGGCATCCAAAATTGGAGTCTCCAGATCTTTCTCTTCATTGTGAACTTGTTTGAAAAATGATTTGTGCTCCAGCCAGCTGTGGATGAAAAGGCTAAAACCACTGGGGAAGGCCATGGGGGGGAGGGAGGGGGGAGGGGAATGAGTCACCACACAGTATGAGGGGATTAATGGAGATCTATTTTGGTTCAGCCCTTAGACATTAGTTCCCATCTTCTCACAAATCCACGCCACTGAGAAGAAGATAGGTGTGGATGCCAGAGGTTCTGTAGAGACAGGTAGGGACAAAGGAGGGAATGGTCTCCAGTCCTTCATTAATGTTAGCTCAGAGTGGAGCATCACTTCTGCTGCTAGCCATGATCCATGTGTGAATTATGGTGAACGTCTTTGTTGATGAATTTGTTCTCTGTGTGGTTAGCCTTGCACTGGAAGTGAGATTCTAGTTTCTGTGATCTGCCTTAGAGGGGGAGTCAGGAGCCAGGAACTTTAGATAGTAGCATGTACACGTGTGTATGCACATGTGTGTGCATGCATGTGTGCACACACATACATATATCATCATGCCACCTACAAATGTGCCAGGCTTACAAATTTGTTGAAGAACTAAACGGGGGTGGCACCATTCTCTGCTATACTGAAGCACAGAGTGACTGTAAGGTTTTACCATGTTTTAATCAAAAGGCAAGGAATGTTTGCAACCCAATGCTATTTCATAATTTCGTTTAAGGTATTAATGATTTGGTGATCGGATGAGTGAGAGAGGGGCCTTCTGGAAAGAAGGGACTGAAAGTGTCCACACATGGATGTGCTTCTGATTTGTTAGCATTTCATCTTTTTCCCTAGCCTGTGTATGAACCTTCTCCTAGAAGCTTAGGTAAAGAACCTCTACAATAAGAAAATCAGTGGTGTCTCGTTGTTTATAGATGCTGTTGAGGATGTGGGGAAATCTGTGATCCCAAATATGTGGGGCTTTTATCCCAGAGATAACCAATTAGAAATTCACCAGCTGGTTATCTCTTCAAGTTAGTTCCATTCTGACCCTGTCTAGCTGAGGAGAGAGTCTAGGCCTTATGGTTTAAAGTGATGGTTCAGTCAGCACTCTATACCCCTGGTCATTCTTAACAACCACCTACAAGTTAGGGTTTCCATGATCCCATCTTGTTAGTATTAATTTGTTAGAGCAGCTCACTGAAATCTGGGAAACATTTGTTTTGTTTTTTCCTCCCTCCTTTCTTTCTCCTTTCCTTCCTTCCTCCCTCCCTCTCTCCTTCCCTTCAGCCCCCCTCCCGTGTTTTCTCCTCCCTTTCTTTCTCTCTTCCTCCCTTCCTTGCTTCCTACCTCCCTCTTTCCTTCCCTTCCTTCCTTTCTTTCTCTTCCCCTCCCAAAATATGTTTGTTGGGATGGCTTCCTCACTCACCACAGTTCATAAGACGTTTAGTGCTGCTTCCTCCTGAAGGAACGTCTCTCTGTAAGCCTTGCTTTCCCTGATGTCAGCTGTCATCTGACTATGAAGCAGCCACCACACAAAAGTACCATTTGTGCTTGGCTAAAGGCAATGATGATTTCACAGCATCCTGGACATTTCACATCCATGAAGTAGGAATTGGGGCTCTGTACCAGGTGCTGCTTCTATTGTTCCTCTTTTTTGTCTTCTGCCAAGAGCTGAAGGACATTTCTTTTCCAGGGCCATGTTCTTGTGATACAGTCATCACCATTGGAGGACCAAAACATGTCTCTGCGGGCAGTTTCAAGACAGAAGGGCAGGGGAATGGTAGCATGACCCACCTGTACAAGAAGGATTCTAGTGTTTCTGTGGTATGCCTTGGAGAAAGGAGTCAGGATCTAGGGGGTGTGAAAGAAAATCAGACCATACATGACACAGTATTACGTGCTTACACTGACATAGATGTCTTCCCTATGCACTGTTCCTGGGGAAACCAGAGTTAGCTACTCTAAGAAAATGCTGCTTTTTTTTTTTTTTTCATTGAGCTAACAATTTCTCAGTGCCCATATCCTCCCTGTTCTAGGACTCTGGAACTTCCTGTTCTCGTCACACTAATTATATGTCTCCGGAGTAGGATTTCTGCTTAATGGGATCCCCTTCACCCTCTGAATGGAATGACTCATTTCTTGGAAGTCTGACTTTATTCATACTTGGAAAACTTGATTCCTAGAAGCAAAATTCCAACATATTGCTAAATAGAAATCCTTTCTTGTCTGTGGACAGGCTTCCCTGGGTAGCGGGAATGGAAGAGGTAATCTGCACTAGCCAGCTTTACTCTGAAGCCTCTTTGTCCTAGAATTGGGTTACCATTTGTTCAGCTAATGTTCTGGACAAAAGGCCTGTGCTTAAAAGTTTGAAAACTTTGTCTTGTGGTTACCCTGGAAGAGAAGGTCTTTAGAGCAAGGAACTGAAAACATCAGCATCATTTGTAATCACTTCATCCCTTGCCAAGATGTCTCCTCCTTATGCTTGAATGTAGAAAAGAATAAAATAAAATAGACTCCCCATGGTTTTGAGACCTTATGACTTACAAAGTATATTTTGCTTTCTGTTACTTAATGAGAGCCATGGAATTCAGCTCTGGCAGCTCCTGTGCCCAGACTTACTGCTTGACTAAGTTACTTGCTTCTTTTTTTCTTTTAAGTAATGTCAGATGGCAAGCCTGCCTATATTAATTGAATTTATCATTGAAGCTTGTCTGGTTCATAACTTGCTTCCTGAAAATGTGATAAACATGTTAAAGTACTTAGTGCTATATTGGGAGGAACATGAATTACAGAGATTAAAGGTAACTGCATCCAATTTAATGTTAAAATATACATACGAAAGTTGCTCACTTTCATTCCTTACATGCCTGTGATATTTTATATGATGTTGTATTGCTCATTGAGCTCTTTATTAACAATCGTTGTCTTCCTAATGTTTGTTTGCTTTCTGTGTGAGGGCATACGTGTGTGTGTGTGTGTGTGTGTGTGTGTGTGTGTGTGTGTGTGTGTGTGTGCGCGCGCGCACGTGCACACGCATGGGTGCACGCCAGTTCTGGGGCTTGAATTAATGGCCTTAAGCATTATTCCTGAGCTTTTTTGCCTCAAGGCTAATGCTCTACCATTTGAGCCATTTCTGGCTTTTGTAATGTTTAATTGGAGGCAAAATTCTCATGGATGTTCCTGCCTGGAGCTAGCTTCAAAATGTGGTTCTTAGATCTCAGCCTCCTGAGTAGCTATGATTTCAGGTGTGGACACTGGTACCCAGCAAGTATTTATACCATTAAATATCTCAGTGTCGGTTCATCTATCTAGCTATCTAGCTATCAATCACTACTTTTTATGCTAAAAAACTAAAATGAAATTAAGAAAAATTTCAGAGTATCCTGGAAGAATTGGCCTATTGGTGATACTATTTATTCTGTATTTATTCTATGTGAGGACCAGCTAGTCTTTTTTTTTTTTTTTTTTTTGTCAGTCGTGGGGCTTGAACTCTGGGCCTGGGCACTGTCCCTCAGCTCTTCAGCTCAAGGCGAGCGCTCTACCACTTGAGCTACAGCGCCACTTCCGGTTTTCTGGTGGTTTATTGGAGATAGGAGTCTCACGGTCTCTCCTGCCCGGGCTGGCTTTGAACCGCGATCCTCAGATCTCAGCCTCCTGAGTAGCTAGGATTACAGGCGTGAGCCACCAGCGCCCGGCTCCAGCTAGTCTTTATTGAAGGCTAGCCTGGGACTGGTAGAATATGGCAATATTTTTCTATTGGGGACAAAGTCCTTTTTTGCTGCCACCATGGCCACAGGACATGAAGAAATACCTAGAGATATTTTGGCCATCATCATTTTGGGCAGGACTTTGATAATAGTTTCCAGTAGAGTTAGCCACCCAGGCTGCTGCTGATCAGTTCACTCACTGCATAGACCAGCCCAGCTACGAGGATGTCACTCACGGGACAGTTGGAAGATGCTGGAGCAGACACAGAAGAGTGTTGAGTGTAATGGAGCCTTGCTTTATCACTGGAGTATCATTCTAAACATATTTGAACACTAAGGACTTGTTTCTTAAGCCCTTTGTTTGTTGGTTTGTCCTTTCTGTGAGCAAGTGTACCTTGCTTTCTGTGTAATAGCAGTGCTGGTCTGCTCCTTTAGACCCTACTTGAGAAATAGTCGCAACCATGGGAGTTCTGGCAGCACCGCAGGCTGAATTCTAAACATGTGCCCTACAAAACTGGGCTGCTCCCTGTGGACAAATTGCAACAAACACACCTTTGGAAGATTTACTGCTTCCCAGGAATTCTTTGAGGTCATCCAGAAATTAGATCTCTCCGCAATTGCCTGGCTGTAATCCTAGATTTGGTTGAGCATTTCCTACATTTCAAAACATCCAGTCTAGAAGTGAACGGTGAAGTCCTTGTCAAAACAAAACCCAAGCTCTTCAATAGCCAGTATTCTTAGGTGTTTGCAGTGGCATGCTTGAGTGACTGGACACCAAGTTTGACCGTGAAATACACTATCTGTGCAGCTAGCTAGATTTGTTTGTTTTTGGGTGCCAGTACTAGATGTGATACCAGTTATTTGATATCACGTCCTGTGTAGCTGGAATCACAGCCATATGCCACTGTGCTGAACTCATTTGTTGAGATGGGTATAGCT